CTTGAATGTCAAGGCATACATCAGAGATTAGACCCCCTTGTCAGCCATACCGAATCCGATCAAATTAACATGCATCAATGTCCTATTATGTTCAATATATTTACTATGTGTGAACAATGACAAAATTCAGTTCTGGAATGACAGAAATGCTGGACTTAGATGAATTTCTAACACAAATATGGCCGTCATTCAGCCACTATTAATTGGATTATAAAACAAATAGACAGGTATATATACATGTATCAAAAGATTCATGATGTGTGTGTGAATGTGATGAGTCCAGGCATGTCTGAGATACAGCACCTGTGGAGGTCAATTTCATTCAGTCCCAGTTTTTCAGAATGCTTCCACACAGGAACTTATGAACTCTCTGTATTAGCCCACAATCGTAAGAAAAATGAGAAGTGGATTGACACATTTTGTGTATGAAGGCATCATCAATCCATAAAATTGCCCTGAGATGAACCCCCAATGGTAAAAGGAGCAAAGAACAACAGAAATGGAAAAGAACTGTTGAAAAGGAGATGAGAATGCTAGTTGGAGTTAGTGTCAACTTGATCAGATCTTGAGGCACAAATCCCAGTTGAAGGCTCTAGTGGATACCTTGTGTTCCTGAGAGGACTATATATAATATTAACCCACAACTGTTACTGATATTATAGGCTATTAAAGTAATGCAGTAAAACATGTCTGAGATGAACATAGCTTATTTCAACTGATTTAATTATTTTTCTGAAAATGGATACATACCCCTCATCCATTCATGGGTGTATTCTCTGCGACATTCTCCAAGGCAATGGCCTGTATGGAATGTACCGTGAGCCTCCACCATCTTATCACCGGGAACTCCTGCAATTCTTTCCAGTGAGTCAACATTCTGAAAGTATCAGTTGAAATTTTGGAGGAAACATGATTTTTGGTTACATAGGAGAATGCTAGTGGGTGATATTAATCATTATTAATCCACAAAGATTTCCCATCATGCAAAACAAAATTCCCCATCATGCAAAACAAAAATTCCATACCCATCTTGCAAAACAAATATTTCCCATTATCCAAAACAAAGATTCCCCATCATAAAAACCAAAAATTACCAATCATCCAAAACCAAATTACCCATCATGCAGAACCAATGTAATACAAACTTTTTTACGCATTTAGCTGTTCATGAAAATAATTAAATGTCACAGTTTGCTGTGATATTGATTCAACTTGAAAGAAATCTAACTTTTAAAATTTTTAATTTACTCTGATAAGATTTAACATGCAAAATTATGCAATAGTATTTTTAATTATCTGTACATACAAACCTGTGTATAGTTACGTAAAAGTAAGTTCTTGTCAGAGAGCAATTTAATAAAATAATGGCAGATAGTCGGTTTGAAACTACCAGGATATAACTCTTTGGCTAATGTAAAGAATGGTTCTGGATTTTCCTGAAAAAAAATTGAAATGTGAACAAATTTACAACAGAGCATGGTTCTGATAAACCATAAAGCATTATTTGGTCTAATGCAGACTGGTAGCCAAGCATAGATCAGCTACATGCAGTGTGACAATTTCACAACAGAACTCTCATATTTTCTCTATTAAAAGCGCATCTCCAGTAGATGTGTATGTAACCCAAAATTCACATTTTTTTGCATACAGCATCATTATGATTTATTTCGACCATAGAAACACCCCTGTAAGTTACATAAGCAAATGCACTAGTAAGAGAGCAAATATGGTATGCATGTCTCAATGTCCATATAATATATATCTATTGGATGTTACCGTGTGACCATGACAACATTGATCACAAGGTAGCCATCTTTGTTGTAGCATTGGTATAATCTACTGATTATAGATTTGTAAACCAGAAATGACAGTTAACAATTTTAGTGTCAAGAAAATTAAAAATTAATTTTTACCTTAAAATAACCAATTTCAAATATAGCTTGTGGATTTGGTAAGTTATATTTCTGAAGGTTGTCATAGAGACCACTTTCTGGACTTCGGAAATCAGGAATTCCAGCAGCTAAATGAAAGTACTAATTGGTGATATATTCAACAACTGTACAAATATTGCTAAAACAGGTCTTTAATATGAAAGTCTAGAAAGTGTTCATAACTATATTTATTTTGGTGGTTATAGTCCTTTTGAATGCCAAAGCAACATTTTGTCTCCTTTGTTGTCCACCTTGCACAAAATTAATGAAAATGTGTGAAATGTTGCATCAAAGTCTGGCAGTAAATGATTGGCTGTTTAGAACAACTTACAGGTAGATATACCAGCTCCAGTTAGTACCACAATATTTTTGGCTGCAACACAAAAATATTTATTATTTGTAGTGAAATAATACACCAACATATTGAATCCTGAGGTGGGTGGAGTCGGGGTATTATACCAGTGAGGCCAAAACATTGAATTTTGATTAAGGTGGCTCAAGGTATTACAGTGTAATACACTATTGAGATGAAAGGGGCACAAGGTTTACTCTTATAAATTGTAGTTGTCAGTTGATTTAATCAAAGATACTAGAGAATAATACAGACAATGGAGAAAAATGGAAATGGAAATGGAATAATATTTTATGCAATGTCTTTTGGTGCGTAATGTTCTGTTACCGAACGGCATGGATGCATGCAACAAGTTCACAACTGCCATATCACACTCTTCACTTTAATAATTCATGTTATCTGCTTTTAAAAACAGGCTGTATCAAATAATTTCACAGCAGAATTATTCTGGGACTAAGTTTCAGATACTATAGAAAGTATAAAGATAATGTATTATTGTTTACAAAAATAATACTTCCATCAAGCAAGAAGATGTACTTCAAATTGTGTTCTCTGAAC